TTGATCCCCAGCACAAAAAACAAATTTTTTTAAAAATTCAAGCTTCCTCCTAGTCATATTAGGAGTTAACTCTGGCAACCACTTACCTCTTTGAAATTCAGTTTCCTCATCTGTAAAATGGAGATACCTTATAGAGTTGCTATAAGGAAGATATCATTTAGAAAAATTCTGACACATGGTTTGCACTGTATGACTTCTATTTCTCTTGTTTATTGACTGGAAACAACTGCAAGCAAGCCAAAGTTTGCCAACAGGTCTACTTTTCTATCAAATAAAAATTTCACTCTTGATTTGCCCAGTGAGCTATTCCAGTCAAAATTCAACACACCTGGTAACGACTAAGTAATGATACATCTTATAAGTCCACCCAAGGCAGTTTTCCCTTCAAAGTGGTCACCCTGGAAGACTACAGTTATTCTAAGAGCTTCCATGCTTAATTCCTTTCTGGAATACCTCCTTTAGAGTGGCCATCTGTTCCTGTAACACAGTATCACATCCTTAAGTCAGCAAATATTCATTTTCTAGGATAAATTTTTTATTTTTAAAGATTGCTATCAATTATTCACAGCCCAGTCTGATGCATAACCAGATTAATGTTTCTGGTTAGGGGCCAGGGATTTAGCTCGGTGGTGCCACCGCCTGCCTTGCAAGTGCAAGGTTCTGAGTTCAATTCCAGGTACCACCAAAAAATAAAATATAAAAAATTTCTGGTTAGTGAGATAATAATAAAGCAATGTTAGTTACTTTCATGTAGCTAATAAATTGGTCTTGATAACAATGTACATTAAGGTTAATGGAAATGTAGCCATGGTAAAGATTAAAGCTCACTTTAGTTGGCTTATGGTAGGAATTAATTCAGAGAGCACTGGGAGTCATTACGTATTTAAATAGTATGAAATGTTTCTTTAATGAAAATCTTAATTATGATATTCTCTGAAATCTGATTTCATAGTATTAAAATGAGGCTTTAAAGAACATTAAATGGCAAGGAGCATTTTATTCTTTCAGTATATATTCTTGTGGGCTTTTGGTCAAGATAAGTAATGACAGATGAGTGAGCTGGTGACCCTCCCGCCCTCTGAAGTCTGCTAGTAATTGGAAGCTAAGTAACAATGTCACATGTTTAAACACATTTCATAATGTCCACCAACTTCTCCTTGTCCTCTGCTTGCTGGCAATGAAACACCATCTCATTTTAACTCAGATGAAGGACGCTAGCTTTCTGATGAAAGAACTTCTGAGAATCGTCATCCTTCCTCCTCATGCAGAAATGACTGCTATTCCCACGAGCTTTCCCAACTCTGCTATCCTCCAGGGACTTTCGGGTTCACGAGTTTTCTCTCAACACCAATTTCCAGCAACTGAATTCTCAGTTTTTCTATGTCTTCTTCCTTTTCACTTGTTTCATACTTCAATAACCCATTGCTAAGACTGAGAGCTGTAAAATCCAACATGTGAGCAGGTGCTCACTATCATTCTCAGGCCACTAGAGGAGATGCATCAAGTGAGGAGCTGCAGCCCTGGTTAGTTTTTACTATTGTCTGTCTATGCATTCCAACTCGCAGAAACATAGGTCTGCTTAAAGATGGTTCTGAGTTCTTCCTCCTCCCCCTGCCTCTCCAAGAATTTTGGTTTTAAAATTCTGGAATGCATATGAACTATCTGAGATTATGGAACCATCAGGGCCTTCATATGTTACTTGTCTTTATGTCTAGCCAAATGCTATCTAAAAATAAATGTATGCTCATGAAGACAGAGTATTTTTTCTGTTTTATTCATGACTATCTCTAGTGCCTAGGACACTGGCCTGGGCTGTGTTGGATCCTCAATGCATGCTGCTGAAAGCTTTTTACAGACAAGTATTTGAACTCTATTTCATCCTGGAGCTGTCCCTATAGCTTCCCGCTCCCGTGGGGTACCTAGAGTTAGGGCTGGCCCGTGTGATCTCCCCATCATTTCTCCAGATAGTGCCTTTCCTAGTCATGCAGAATCCCTCTCCTCCCCAAGATTTTTGGCTTTAAAACTTTGGAATGAATACATCTCCAGCTCCTTTAATTTTTAATTTTGAGACAGAGTTGCTAAGTTGCCCCAGCTAGGCTCAAATTTGTGATGTTCCTGCTTCAGCCTCCCAGAGTGCTGAGATTACAGGCATGTGATGCAATGTCTAGTATAGCTTCCTGCCACTTTTTTATGAACCTGAAAACTTAGGCTTAAGAGACTTTTATCTGTCTCAAAGTAAAAAAGCCTGTGCAATAGGAGTGGCAAAGTAGGGACTTTGATCTTTTCATTCCAGCGGGGTGTATTAAGAGTAGAGTCTGATGGATTGGGTTTCTGTTACACTTCCTCACTTCTGAGCTCACTGACAACACCAGTGACTGAACCCTCTGTACCTCAGTGGCAGGTATCAGGAGTGTGTTTGGTGCCACACCACACGGGTACACTCCACATGCTTGCTGAAGGCCATGAGGCAGCTGATGTCATACAAGGTACTCAGGACACAGCGGAGAGTGAGACACAGGTTTTCAGCCTTCCAGGCCTATGCAGCTAGCAGTTTTCTATGTCTGAGATTTCTATTTTCTTTTACTTGTTCTCTAAAGTTATACAAAGTTAATAAGTACTATTTAACATTAAAAATTAGAATGTTTTACATTGGGATGAACAATTAATTTTCTTAAGATCACAACTAGAATAAAAATGAAATACTGGAGGTGAAAATTATTTCAAAAGTAGAAAAAACTTCTTTTTTTGAGGATAAAGGTCATTCCTCTATCAGAAAACTGTTATTACTTTAATGTAGATGTTATCTTCTGCTCTCAACTGTGCTAGTTTCTCATATTCTCATATTCTAACATATGAGATGTTAAATTGTTTAAAACTTCAGCAATCTAATCCAGTGTGATGTTGCATACCTATAATCCCTGCACTCTGGGCAGCTGAGGCAGGAGGATCAGAAATTTGAGCCCAGCCAGGACAATTTAGCAGCTTAGGGAGACCCTGTCTCAAAATATAAAAAGAGCTGGGATGTAGTTCAGTATGAAGGCCCTAGGCTCAACCTCTAGTACTGACAAAAAATAAAACTAAAATAAAAGGCCAGCAACTTGCAGCTCTATTTAAAATAAACATTTAAAAGCTATTACGTTAGCAAATGTATACTGTGTAACTAACCTAGCATTTAAAATATTACATATAAAACAATTTTGTACATAAACCAAACTATGTAAGTATAACTATATGCTTATGCTTTCAAACAAATAGAAGCTCATACCTGTACTACTTTTAGTACTTACATATACATTTTCTCATTAGATATCCAACAAGGGACTAAGACATGTGACCAAGAATTATTCTTATTTTACACATGGAAACAGACAAAGACATTATTCGGTACATTAAACCCTATACAATGGAGCCCTGAGAGTTTGGATCTGCAAAGTGGTTTAATAGTGTAGACACTACATATATTTAAATTTTTACCACTATCTTCAACTTTTCCATTTTCTTAGCAAAACAACCTATAAAAAATGTTTTCCCCAAATAATAAAAATGGGAAATATTACAGACTGTCATATACTAAGCCAGTGAGTTCCAGCACAAGCAAAAGTCTATTTTAAGGGCCCCATGCCGTTACACACTTGAGATAGCACCATTAGAACCACATTTAGACCAATTGCTGTTATGTTCTATTTTAGAGAAAATAATGCAGAGCAGTCCTGTTGCTTCCAAGCCTATTGTACCCGTATGTGTATAGCTGGGTAGAAGACTGCATCCAGTAGGAGATACAGGGCCTAATTATCCCAGCCTAAGCCTACAGGGACTTGATAATCTGATGCCTTCTCTCCCCTGCAGTCACAATTTATTTCTCTCTCCTCATTCTTTTTCCCTTAACTATGTACCATGTAGACTGGCATTACCAAAAGGCATTCACAGTTTTTGTTTGTTTTTGGTACCGGGGTTTGAACTCGGGACCTTGTGCTTGCAAGGAGGGCAGCAGAACAACCTAGTAATACCAAAAGGTAGCTTTTCTTTCTGAGCTATCTTCCCTACTATATAGTTTTTATTTTCAGAATTTTCTTCTTTTGTTCTAAATCTGAAAACATTTCTTTATCATAGATGGGGAACCTGTATATTCACTGCAGATAAAAGTCAGCTTCATTGTTAATTTCCCAGCAAAAAGTACACAGAAAAGCTGAACAGAAAGGAAAGCAAGAGTGGTGCAGAGAGTAGGGACACTCCACCGGGGAGCTGCCCTGCAGTTCTCCACCACAGGAGTGACCTTCCTCTGCCATCACCCTGCAACCTGAAGAGCAAGGTGCTGGCTGGCTGCAAATTCAAAGTGCATCAACATTTTAAGGTCACTGTTCAATGAGCTAGTCCTTTAAATGGTAAAATGTTTTTATTGTATTTGAGGACATTTTCGATAAATATTTGAGTTGGAAGCCTTAGCTAGAAATTCACTATCACTAGAAATCAGATCTCTCTGGCACAACTCCATTGCCTGCAATGGTATTTATCAAAACTACAAACGCCAGCACACAGACAATACACTACACTCCATTGTCCCTATCCTTAACTAGAAACAAACCAAAGGTAAATGCTGAGTGTACAGTGCAAATCAAAAGATTCTTCACAGAAGAAAAGACTAACAGACTGATTTTCAACATGTCACCTGTTCGCTAGTCCTTGAGTAACACTATTTCGGCTATTTCAAGGATAGTAAAATTTACTACCCCTGTTTTCTTAACATGGTTTATGTAAGTCCTAAAGGGTGTACAGAAGGATGTATACAGTCAGAACTATTTCTGTAAACTTCTGGTATTTCTTTTGCTGTGCATCTTATAATAACATGTGAAGGAGAATGTACATTAAGTTGTTAGTGGTTACATGAATTCCGATCATGTGCTAGTTGTATATATGGGTGCTGTAAGAGAGAAGAGAAAGTTTGATATGCTCACCTGTGCCTGGCAACTTTGGTCCACTCACGATGTAACTTGATTCGGTCACTGTCTACTCATTCATTACAAAAATGGTTTTTATAAGCTGCAAACCACACTTTATTACACATTTCTGAATCACGAGAGAATCATCTGTGAAACAGCTCTCTATGTCACTGACTCTAATGGGGAAAAAAGTTTTTTTCAATAAAATAAAGAGTCCCCAGATTCTTTTTGTAAAAGAAGCTGAAGTTTTTTTGATGACTGCCCTTCACTCCACAGTCCCTTTTACCCAAGGTGTGGTCCCTGGTGTATCCTTTGGAGGTTTGGTTTCAGGGAAGCTTTCAGCAAACCTCTCTCGTGCTTTGTCCCAGTTTTTTTTGCTCTTGCTTTGGAGAAGGGGAACATCTTCAATTGAGGATGGTTTGCCTGTTCCCAAGCCTGCATGTGTTCGCCGAAGCTGAAGCGGGATCTGTCACCAAAAGTAGAGCAGAATGCTTATTTAAGCACACTCACATCTGCTGTGTCCAACATACTATTCTAACTACAACTCTTTGATTTATTAAAGATTTATGTGAAAGAAAATTTGTCAACTGCATCAAATACATACAGAAATACATATACCATTATCTGTAAAATGGTGACTTTTCTGTTCACTCTTTGCTTGTCAGCAAGTATAGACAACTCCGCAGAAAAACAAGGCTGCTTAAGGAGCAACCACCAAACTACATCCAGATGCTACAGAATACCCCATCCCATTCTATCCAGAAGTAAAGGCCATGGCATGTTTAAACCCGTCCCATCCTCATCTAAGTAAGTAAACAAGAAGTTACACATTAATAATCATAAAGAAGGACTGGGGGTGTAGCTCAGTGCTAGGCACAAGCAAGGACTTGGTTTGCTGCCCAGCACTGCAAAATTAAATAAATAAATACAAATCATAAAGTAATTTTATTTTTCTAACATGAAACAAGGACTTCCCATTATTTTGTAAACATTAAAACCTACCAGTTACTGAGTGCCTATGTAAGTGCCAATCTCAGGGGTTTATCTTTAGGACACCATAGACAAATAGTTTTTATACTCAAGTGAAGTATAAACTTGCCTAAACCCATAATCAATGGCAGATCATACACATACTCTAACCAAGGTCTGACATAATCAATGTTCTTTACAGCGTGACTCAATGAAAATGAGAAAACTGGTATCATATTCATACTGACCCATCTATTTCTGTAAGAATATTAGGAAAATTCTGTTACTCAGTCAATTTATAAGGTGCCTTGGTGAAAGATAATGAGTAGCCTATGAATCATTACTGAAGAATTAAACCTCTGGATTGTTTTCTAGACATTATTCTCCATACTGCACATTACATGCTGATTCTTAAACTTAACAGATTCTCCAGGTAACACAGAACCCACCTGTTAGTAAACTAACACTAATTGTTCCGTCAATGCTCAGTTCAGTTGCACAAAGGACGTCACTAAAAGCAACTAAAAGGGATGGGGATGTAGTTCAGTTATAGAGCACTTGTTCAGCATGCAAATGTCCCAGGTTTGATTCCCAGTACCACAAAGCAAACTAACAAAATTAGAAGACACAGATGGTTCAGGAATTATCTCATATTATCCTAGCCTTTGTGTAGGACAGAATGCTAAAACAGGCTTTCATAAAACATAAAATGCCAGACAACAACAAAAACCCACATTTGGGAATGGCAAAGTCCACAAAGGCAGAACCTTGTCTGTTTGGGCTTGATGCTGTATTCCAAGGGTTTAAGCCACTGCCCCTCACATGCAGAGAGTACTGCTGCAAGATCAGGTGAATGAAAGGAAGCGCAAGCCTTACCGGAGTTTTCATTCCTCCACCATCCTTTCCCAGGCCCTCTCCTTTTTTCCAGCCCATCTTCTCCAGCATCTTCCGACCTTTGTTGCTATCAGTAATTTCACTTAAAGAAAAATCAGGATGATAGCTGATTTACAAAAGATCTTTTAGGCCATATATGAATAAATTCATAAATTAAAAATAAATGGTACAAGTACTTTAGAAAACTCTTTGGCATTACTCAATAAACTGGAAAACATAAATTCACTCCTACACATACTAAAAAGAAAAGTGTGTACCCATGCTTCAAATGACAAATACAAGAATGTTTTTCTAGCAAATCTAATAGTAACAAACAATTCAGATGTCCCTCAAGGGTAAAACAAAATAGATTCATAAAACAATATTATACAGCAATGAAAATAAACTATTCCTAACAAAATCGTGTACGATAAAAAGAATACAGAAAGAAATAAACTTTTTTTTTTTTTTTTTTTTGGAACCGGGTCCTTGCACTTGTGAGGCAGGAGGTGGCACCCCTGAGGTAAATCCTTGGCCACAAGAAACATTAAATTGTTCCATTTGTTTAAAATTTTCAAATGAGTGAAATTAATCTATTGCTATCAGGATTACCTTCCAGAAGAAGAGAGGGACAGAGATTAGCAGAGGGTTCAAGGAGAATCAGCTGTTGGGTTACCATAATTTCCTATTTATTGTCTAAAAATAGTACATTCTACAGTATGTTAACCTTATGGTCTAGCATTGAAGCTAGATATTTAAAATTTATATACTTTTCTGTACATAAATCAATAAAAAGGTAGAATAAAACTTGTCACTCTTTATATTTTGCGCTGTGATTTTTATATTCTTCTAATTCTAAAATTTAATTTTATGTTCGCTACATTTTCAGTTCTACTAAAGATGCTAATTTATCATTTCAGTAATAAACCATGCCATGTCAGATCAATGTTTCAGTTTTTAATCCTGCCCTCCAATTTAAATCTAATGTTATTTTCATAGTCTCCAATAATTATTTTTAAAATGTTCAAATAATATATCATATGGCTCAGTGTATGTAACTAGCAATGATATAGTTCATTAAATCTGACTCTATAAATAGTTAGGAGCACCACTGTTTTATGTACCATTGAGAAAAAACTGCTGCCATTTGTAACTGTAAGCTCTCACAAGCAAATCTTGGAATCAACCAAATACAATATTGAATTTAAACCTTACAATTAGTTACAACTTCTACATGCAAGATTCAAATTTTGACTCATCCTAAAATGAGAAAAAAATAGCTAATATATGACTAAGTACAGAAATAGTCATACTGTAAGCATCAAAATCCCGTTTTTCATATTTACTGAAGCCAACCTACCAAAAACAAAGAACTAAGTCAAAGAAACATGAGCAAAATAGTGTTTCAGAGTTACCAAGAAAATATTTGAATGTTAAAATAATTATAAAAATCACTAGTAGGGCCAGGGAGTTAGCTCAGTGGTTCCACTGCCTGCCTAGCAAGTGCAAGGACCAGAGTTCAATCTCTGGTACCAAACAACTACCTAAATAAATAAATAACCACTGGCACACTAACTTCTTACTGGCCCAGGCTTCTTGATGTCTAGTATACATAAAACTATACTTACACAACTAGGTATCTAGAATGTCAGCCATGCATTTATGGGTGTGTTTATGTATGTGTGCACAATTATAATTTTCTGAGAATAATGGAACACCAGCATTAAAGTGTAAAAAGACCTCAATGTTTGCATCTTGTTCTAATGTTCCTTCAAAGGCTCTCTATCAGGATACACTGCTCTGTAAGTCAGATGACCTGCCAATGTAATTACGAACAATGGCTGTCTTAAGTGGTGTCACTCAATACTCACGAGTGGACAGACGCAGGAGCATCGTCTCTCTGGAAAGTCCCCTCACTTCCAACCTGCTCCCTGCGTTTTCCAGCTCTATCTTTATATTTTGGATTCTTCAGTGCCTTTTCATCTTCATAATCTGTATTCTTAAAAAACACAAAATATTCACTGATAAAAGGAAAGCTAACAGATAAAAATATAATTTTTGTACGTTTGCTTTACTTTTGGAAATAAGGTTTGATGTGGCCACAACAATGAAATAGAATAAGCTATGATACAGCATAAAACAAAGTGTTATATGTTGATTTTCTTCTGTTTAAAATTTTTATATTTCAAGTTGTACAACAGAAATACAAATGACAAGGAAGTAACATGGTAAAAATGTAATACATCTTGACTTAATGTTGTGTTCTTATATTGTCATATTAACTACCTGTATTTAAAGAAAAATACAGAACCCCTGAGGGTGAAATAAATAATCTATTTTTCCTTTTCTCTAAAGAACTGAAAGTTCCTGTGGTAAGGACTTAACACAATATGATAATGCTTTTTTGAAAGGGAAAAATATAGAAAGTCTTTGAAAAATAAGAAAAAGGGAAATACTCTTTCACCCTGGTAATAATAACAACTTATAGGGACCAGGGATTTAGCTCAGTGGTTCTACTGGCTGCTTCCAAAGCTCAAGGTCCCAAGTTTGATCCCTGGTACCACCCCCACCCCACACCAAAACAGCTTTTGCTTCTGTACCACTTTATTTTTATGACTAACCCACCATCAAACAAATATTCACAAATATTTTATGACTAAACCACTATCAAACAAATACCAGGTAGTGGAACATATTTAAATCATAATGCCCAAGGAAAAACATCTAACTCAAGCTACTACAGCTGTAGAGGTATGCCATGCTGTGGCACTGGTATGAAGATATTCAGTGCTCCTTCAGTCATCAGAGGTTTCCCTCCTCCTACTGTTATTAATTGCTCACCTTTACATAAAAAGAATGACATGCTGGGGACTGGAGAGCGACTCGAGGAAAGCACATACTACAAAGATGTTTTAATTTTGCTGTTAAACAGACAAAAAATAGAAAACCAATATCCTAGTGAGTTTATTCCCCAGTAGATAATATAGTATAGTCTGTTTGCCTGTATATGATGGGTATCCCAGTTTTAGGCTATTACGAAACAGCAGCTATATACGTTATGTTTACTAGTCTGTATCAACAAACGCTTGTACTTCCCCTGGGTAAGTATCCAGAAGTAGAACAGCTGGATCATACAGCAGGTGTATATTTCACTTTTTTAAAAAAGTGGTTCTGGGGATGGAACCTAGATCTTCCTGCATGCTAAGTAAATGCGCTACCACTGAGCCAGCCCTTAGTCCCCAGCAGCTTTTAAAAAATGACCAACTGTTCTCTAAAGCAACTGCACCAATTTATACTCTCATCAGCATTATATGAGTTCCAGTTCCTCTACATCCCTTTCAGTATCTGGTATATTCAGTGTAAAAATTTAGCTATTTTGATGGATATGTAATGATGTCACTAAGGTTTAAGTTAATGATAATAATACTGAACATCTTTCCTTGTATGTCCTTGCCGTGTGTATATTATTGGTAAAGCAACTATGCATACTCTTGGCATTTATTCATTCATGCAATCTTACCTCAGCTCTCTAAATAGTGTGACTCGACAATGCAAGGCAACCGTTTTTTGGTTTTTGGAGTTGTTTCCTCTCTACTGAATTTTGAGTTTTTCCATATTCTAGATATGTCTTTCATCAGATACATGATTTGCAATTTTCTTTTTCAGTCTATGGTTTGTTTCCATTGTCTCTGTCTTTCCCTTGCTCTTGCCCTCCCTCCCCATCTCCACCTCTTTTGGCAGCAGTGACGATCGAGATCAAGGGCACTTCATTTGGGCTTTTAATTTTTTGAACTGTGAGCTAGAGCCTTACTAAATTGCTCAGGCTGGCCATGAACCTGCAATCCCCCTGCCTCAGCCTCCCAAGTAGCTAAGAATACAGGTTTGTACCTCTATGCCTAGTTTCTTTTCTTCCTTTTAACAGTAACTTTAGAAGAGCAGACATTTTAAATTTTGAAATTCTTTCTTATGGGCTGTGCTTTTGCTGTTAGGCATCTTAGAAATCTTTGCACAACCAATTTTTAAATGTTGATTCTTAGGCTTTATATTTACATCTAAAATACATTCTCAGGTCATTTTTGTATAAGATACAACACACAGATCAACTCTTCATTGTTCATTCATTTGCTTTTCTTTTGCATGTAGTTATCCAATGTGTTGGGGGGAAAAAACCCCACACTTTTATCACCAAACTGCCTTTTTGTCTTTGTTGAATCTGCTGTCAGATGTATTTATCACACACACACACACACACACACACACACACACACACACACACACTGGTCGATTTCTAGACTCGATCCAGTTATTTATCTTTAAAACAATATAAAACTGGCTTACATATAGCTTATGAAGAAAATTAGATTAGTCCTATGAGCTTTTATGCACTGTAATGCAATTTTTTTAGAGCTAGAAATATAAGCTATTATTATCATTTTTATACTCCAATCTCAATATCTACTAGGTTGAGACCACCAGAATAGAAATAAATCTCAAATTTAACACTAAGTAGCTTTTTTTGGTTATACATATTATCACTAAAGACATTTTTTATTCAAAACCAGATATATGGTTTAATATATGAAACAATGTTTAACATCCTTACCTGCAAACCATATTTTACTCGTATTTTCTTTAATTCTTTTCTTCTTTCCAATTCTTTTTCCTCCTTACTTAATGCTGGACTAACTAAAACAAAAAAGTAAGTGATGAAAAAGATCCACTAAATATGATAGACTCTTTAAAATATTAATACAAATGTTATTTGATTAAAAAACTAATATTACTAGTACCTTAAGATTATCCAGAAGTTGAGATAAATATTAATGTAAAAGATCTTGGGTTATAACAATGTGCTTTCAGCTTTTTGAAAACTAAATACACTTGGAAAGCAAACTGAAATCCAAAGATTAGGACATGACAGCACAGATAGCAAAATAAATGGTGAACATCTTACTTGCTCAATATGACTATTGTAATAGAATCCCAGACACAGAACTATGAAAAACATTTCCCAAAGGAACACAGAAATGTACAAAATGAAAATAAAAATCGCAGAAGCCAAGATTCACATTATCATATGATGTTGATATGCTCATTTTCAAATTAGTATCAGAACACAAAGCAAACAATAAACATGTATGCTTTGTATTCAGAGGAAAAGCTTAAATAAAAATTCTCATACTACTTCAAAGTATTTAAATTTTAGAAGCTATAGATGGCTGAGTTCAAAGCATTACGGCAATACTCTAAACCGCTATTTATTATTAAAAAAAATTGGTATACATAGACAAGATGTCACCACCAACTAACAATTGGACAGAAATTAATAACCTTTTGTGCTTTGGTCCACTGTGCTCTATCTTAACATTTTATGGCAAGTGCAGGCCAGGAGTATAGTTCAATGGTAGAATGCTTACCTATGAAGTAAAAGGCCCTGAGCTCAATCCTTCACACCAGAAAAACAAAACAAAATAAATGAAAACAAAAGTCAAGTATATAACCTATCTGTCTAGGTCTGTCTAAATATATGTCATATGCTGGTTTCATAATATTCACTGAAATAGAAATGCATCTCAATCCACTATTTCATCAACTAGACATAAGACTGATGGATTTGTGTATCTCAATACCTATCACACTGATTAGACATGGAGCCCACAGCTGACACTCCCTTAGAACACTGAGTCAGAACATATTTACCAGTATGTTTTACATACCAAAAGATTCATCTTTCTTATCGAGGCGAAGGTGGGCTCTAACCTGCCCTGGCTCACAGCCATCACAGGTATCACTGCCAGAGTGAATGTGAAAGGACAACACGGTCTCTCCAATTTTTACTTCATCTCCATGCTCAAGTACATAAGGGTCACATTTAGTTTTTGGCTGGAGAGGGGAAATTTAATAAGACAGATCCAAAACAGTCACACATAGTCATTTTATGTCTACTGTTAAGTAATGTCTGATTATAATAAACAAATATTTGAAATAGTTCTCAGTGAGATTATATGCACATATCTTTACAACATGATAAATGACATAAAAATGTCCTACTAGGGGCTGGGGATTTAGCTCAGTGGTAGTGTATGAACTTAGCACACGTGAGGCCTCAAGTTCAATCTCTACCATACACATCAAAAAGTTCTACTACAGGAGGCAACTGCTGAATCCTACCAGAAATGCCCAGCTCTGGACCTCAAAGAATGCATTACCAAACCATGTGCTACCCCAGTCAGCAAGATGGAGCACTGAGAGAGGGCTAAGGCATCATCTCTTTCCTTTCTCCCCTTCTCTGTTTTTAATACAATTTTATTTCAATTTTTCAATCTTAAAGACTGAGAATACAGTCTGCCTCCACCCCTCTCTCCACTTCCATATGTTTACTATACTTTAAGGTCTTTTCTATTTCCTGGGAATATCCCCATTAACTGGACAGACACAGCTCCTGCTTCTTAAGGAATTTCCAGTTTAGTAATATTTTCACTAAGACAGTTAAAAAAATTTTTTAAAAGCCAAAGGACTGGCTTGGCCTGGTGGCAATGCTTATAATGCAACCTATGTGGGAGGCGGAGGCAAGAAGGTAAAGGTTTAAGGCCAACTGGGCCACTTCCTAAGACTCTGACTCAAAAAAAATACAAAGGTATGGGGATGTAGCTCAGTGAAGAAGGCCCTGGGTCTGACCCCCAGTACCACAAGCAAATAAATACGTGAAGTAAATAAAATTTTAAAAAATAAGGAATAGATGCATAATTAGAAAGCAGTAGTCAACAGCTAAGTATCCACTGATTATAATTTTCCAGTCTTGGTAATTCCCTTCCAAGTGACACATTTGGGCTTCAACTCTGATCTGAACCAAATGTTATCTATAAAAACTAGTGCGCCTAAAGAAATAAAAATTTCAGTTATTTAAAAAGTAATTTCAGTAAGTTTAGATAATTAACATATATTTACTCACCTGAAGAATCTGTTTTCCATTAACAATTGTGCCATTTTGACTGCCTTGATCCACAAGGACGTAACTTTGTAATTCATGGTCAAAATAAATTTCTGCATGAAACTTAAAAGAAATCAAGAAATTATAAAGTATCATACTTTTTTTTTTTTTTTTAAACCATGGATAACAATTTCCCATGATATGATGTGGGCTTTAGTTTCTGGTAATTTTAACTTATGTTAAAACTTTTTTCTGAATATAAATTTCATATGCTTCTAGGAGAAATATGAAGGCTAAAAAAGGAAAAATCATTTATAATTCCACTTTTACCTACCATTAATAAATATATGCCCAGCCTTTTCTACTTAATATGCCCCAAGATTAGACCATAGAGACAATGTGAAAATTTTTCCCTAAAAGTAACTAACCATACCATTAAAATTTTTCAATACTAAAATAACACTTGGAACACTCAAGGCCAACTTCTCAGAGAAGTTACCCAGATATTCGATAATCACTGATCACTTCCTCTTTGTTCCACACACTTTATGTACATATTCCTCTTACTCTGCTTTGCAGGCCTAACATGTCATGGGCTTCATCTAGTGGCCCCATTTTGCTGAAGAGTAACCCATTACTCAGATAAAAACCACAATTGAATCTTCTGAAAATAGACATGTTAAGTTTTTCTAGGGCTTTATTATTTTTAAAAATACTATAAACACAATCTGTCTGTATATATAATGCATATATTTCTCTGGGGTATATACAAAAGCATACAACTACTAAATCATAGCATATATAAATTTCAAACTAAATACTGCCATAATGCTTTTCCAAAGTGGTGCACCAATACATTCCCACCAGTAGTCTATGACAATTCTTGTTCTAAATATCCCTAACCAAAACTTGGTATTGTGAGCCAGATATGGTAGCACACACCTATAATTCCAGCACTCAGGACGCTGAGGAAGGATAATCTCAAGCCTGCGCTACAGTGATAATGATACTTTGTTACACACACACACACACACACACACACACACACACACTAAAAACACCCGATATTTTTAGAATTTTTAATTTTTCTTAGCCTAGCAAGTATGAAATAATGCCTTACAATTGTGATTTTAATTTGGGTTTTTTTGATTACTAATGAAAACTTTTCTTTTTTTGGCACCAGGGATCGAACTTGGGACCTTGTGCTTGCAGAGACACCACTAAGCTAAATCCCTAGCCCTGAAAATTTTTCTTATGTGTAGTACAAATTTGGATTTGTAAATTTTCTTTATGTCCTTTGTATATTTTTTTCCAACTGGGTTGTTCAGGATAACGATATCAAAAGGTTTAAACAGTTTCCAGTCTTTGGGCCCTGCCACACTCTATTCCAAAAAGCTGTTCTAAATGATCCAACAGGAACGACACTTAGTAAATAATAAATATGATGAATAAAAACTGACATCTGGGCTCGGGATTTAGCTCAGTAGTTCTACTGCCTGCTTCAAAAGCACAAGGACCCAAGTTTGATCTCCGGTACCAAAAACAAAAACAAAACTAAAAACCTGACGTCTTGGTTTCATCTATATTTCTTAGATTGCTCTAAAGACAAATGGTTTTCATCTTAATTCTGTACTTTTCTCTACTGTGAACTGCATGTTTATAATCTTCTCATTTAACTAATGGTGTCACAATGTGGCTTGAGAAGAAAAATCTGCATGTGCTGTTGAAAGAGAAAAGAAGGACATTTGTGCTTTTCTAATATGCTCGTTAAACACTGGTTCTTTACATACAGAGATTTAAATTTAAACAAAATTACTTTGACCCTTGTGATTTTTACCATTTTTTTAAAAATTCAGAAAGCCTTTTGTCTGTTAGTTTAACATCTGAACATTTATGTTTGTCCCCTGAACATTAATGAGTTATTAGTTATTAAGTATTTTTTATCTGAATACATGGTATTATATGCTGTCAACCTTATCTGTCAACAGATTATTTACCCCACTAGTAGATGTTAGCTTAAAAGAAAGAAATTAAAAACAAATTCTCTGGTAGGATTTCTGTTTTTAATTTCCTTCTACTTATATTTTCAATTGGGGATGAGAAGGATTTCTTTACCACTAAAGTTACAGATGCACTTTTCTTCAGAAGCAAGAAAATCAAGGGTCATAGTAAAGTAAAAACGCCAGATATTTTGGATAGAGTTAAATTATGAGGATTTTCCCTTCTCAAAATGAGTCCCCCACAAGTTGAAAGTAATTTAACTTTGAAATTAATAAAAAAAATTCATTTCAAATAACAAAAATTACACATAAAGTTCATTAAATAATGAGATGGGAGCTGGGGATACAGAATAGTAGCAAAGCATTTGCCTAGCATGTGAAGGGTCCAAGGTCAGCCCCACTACCACAAAAAAAAAGGAAAAGACGGTCCAAAAGAAGGTCCAAAAGAGAAAGGTAAACAAGGAAAGAGATAATAAGCACAAAGGAGAATAACAAAATAAACTTCGTAACTTTGCACTCAAAGCAACTTTATCCTAAAGTAGCTTCAATCTAGGTCTGATTTATTTCTCAATTGCCATAAAGTATAGCATGTATATTTCAATCAATAATCATGTTAAATGGTTACTAATTTAATATTTAGATCAAATAAATCCATGTTTTCTACTCCTACTCCAGACTGTTGAAAAATAAACACAACTAGCAGAGTATCACAGTAGTCCCAGAGTTTAGCAGGCTGATGCAGGAGGACCACTTCAGCCCATGAAGTCTAGATTAGCCTAGGCAATATAGCAACATGCTGCCTCAAAAAACAAAAACAAAGCAAGCACAACTCAGTTTATTCAAATTGTGGTAATTTTTATTTTCTCAAGCACTACACAAACAAATCTACACTGCCTTTACCACCACTGCGACAGCGAACATTAACCATTCATTAAATGGGAAAAACCTTAAGCTCTCTACATCATGATTTTTACTTTTTCTTATTCTATGATGCTTTTGGAAAATTTTATCTTGGTCACTATATTAGAAAAATCAAGGTCTTACCTTACTAACACCAACTTCAGGGATTCGGAGAGTGTGCTCCATGTCTTTTTCTCTGCAGAGTTGAATAAAGTGTTTTAAATAAATTCTGAAGCCTATACAAACACAGCATTTAAGACAGAAACATGGTAAAACATGCTTAAAATGGTTATTAAAATGCAAGTCTATAGCAGCAGATATCTTTGCTACTCTAGATTTCCTACGCTTTCACCTAATTACTTCTTCATGTCTGTATCTTCAGACTGTTCTTTCTCTGCTTAGAGATCTTGCCTTAGTACTGTTTGTATCCATAGCACATAGGACAATGATTTATAAAAAATACACGAATAAAGCTTTCTGAAGTCAAATAATAATAGAGCAATATTAACCATTTTTACCTTCCAATTGTAGCAGACTTTACAGCTGTGATGATGAAAAGTGATCCTGTCTGTAACACAGGTGACCTAATAACAATGACTCTAATACACGGAGGCCAAATCTTTTCTTCATCTGCCAAGGAAAGAAGTGGCCAAACATTAACTTAAATGGTATGAAACAAAAAATTTCACAGATACCTAGGAAACATCCATAAAACAAAAATGTATTGGTTATGGCTGATGGTAGAGCTCAGTGGAATGGCAGGACTCAGAATGCAGAAGGCCCCAGAGTCAATCAATGCTCGGCACCTGGAGCACAGGCACAACACTGCACTGCTCAGCAGTGCATGGTGACACAGGCCTGTAATCCAAGCACTCTAGGAGGATGAGGCAGGAGGATCACAACTTTGAGACCACTGAGTAACTTAATGAGACCCTATCTTAAAATAAAGGTTGGGGGTTGGGGATTAAGCTTAGTGCAAAAGCCTTGGGTTCAACTCCCAGTAACAACAACAAAAAAAGAAATGTACTGATCGAACTCTTAATTCCAGGGATTGAGGAAAGATACTTCAGTGGCAGAGCCATAGCCTACCACAGAATGAGATCTTGGGTTCAACCCCAGCGCTGGGAAAACAGAAAAAAAGAAACTTAGACTAAAACAAATATCTAACATTCTGCTATATATTTATAGCAATGAGTAAGGCTTAACACTATTATTAAAGTGATCGACATAAAGTTGTACAGCATATTTAGGATCAGAGGAATTAAAAAAATTATCTTGAGGTTTTTAAGAATCTTTAAAATATCCCAGATATTTTTATATTAGGTCAGAAAAACTGAGTCCAATTTTTAAAAATATGAGAAATTCCACTGAGAACACAATTCATATATTATAATGTAAAATCCTGTGTTTTAAAAGTGTCTTTCTATAAACATGGGTACACATACATCACTGTGATATGATTTTTTTAGTTCTTTTGGAAAGATACCCAGCAGAGGGATGGCTGGGTCAAATGGAACCTCCAGTCCAAGCTCTTTGAGGTATCTCCATATTGATTTCCATAGTGGTTGCACCAGTCTGCACTCCCACCAACAATGGAGAAGGGTTCCTTTCTCCCCACAACCCCGCCAACATTTGTTATTGTGTGATTTCTTGATAGCAGCCATTCTTTGTGGGGTGAGGTGGAATCTCAGTGTTGTTTTCATCTGCATCTCTCAAATGACCAGTGATGTGGAACATTTTTTCAAATATTTTCTTGCTGCTTTTACTTCTTTGTCTGAGAAATGTCTGTTCATTTCGGATGCCCATTTTTGAATTGGGTCTTTATATTTGGGGGGACTGATTGTTTTGAGTTCTTTATATATCCTTGATAATAGTCCTTTGTCTGAGGAACAGCTGGTAAAAAACTTTTCCTATGCTAATGTCTTCCAGAGTTCTGCCTAACTTAGCTTCCAGCAAGTTTAGTGTTTCTGTTTTAATATTTAGATCTTTAATACACTTGGATTTTAATTTAGTGCATGGTGAAAGATAAGGGTCCAGGTTTAATCTGTGGCAGGTTGAAATCCAGTTTTTCCAACACCATTTATTAAAGAGGCTATCTTTCCTCCACTGAAGATGGTCAGCTCCTTTGTCAAAGATGAGGTAGCTGAATACATCTGGATTTGTTTTAGCTAAAACTTGGAAACAGCCCATTTGCCCATCAGTTGGAAACTGGATAAAGATGTGGTTTGTCTATAAAATGGAATATTACTCAGCCATAAAGAATGAGAAAATAGATTCATTCATAGGAAAATGGATACATATTGAAGATATACTCCTAAGTGAAATAAGTAAGTCACACATGTGTAAATACCGAATAGTTTCTCTGGTGTGAACAAACTGGAATAATACATAAGATCCTAAAAAGATTACTGACATTGTGAAATGGGAATAAAGGGGCTAAAAAAAAGGTGTAGGGAAGGTGGGATGGATAGGGGAAGGGTAATAAGGGAAAAGAAAAAAATGTGAGATAATGAAAAGATGGAAATAAAGTGTTTGAAGATGGGGAGGGGAGGAGGGGGTGAAGGGAGGGCAGGGACAAGGGGAAAAAATGAGAACCAAGATCTGTCATTCCCAACAATGAATGTAACTGTACTGTATCCCTAAAATGTACCAATAAACTCAATTAAAGCTGAAAAAAAAAGTGTCTTTCATATCAAGTAAAAAATACATTCAGCAGAATACTTATATACTGAACTCATAAGCTATACTTTTTTTAAAGCAGCTTGGTTTTTCTTCAACAGTAAAAAAAGACTACAAATAAGTAACTCACTAAAACAGCCTACAAATATTAAAAAGTATATACTAGGATTAGATCATAGGAAGCTTGATTTTTTATGTTCTACTGATTAGGCATTAAACACAATGGAATGTTTTTAAGGTCTAAGGATTAGTCATCCATCCTATTTCCTAAAATTTACTAAGTGGGAGCTCATATTATTTTCAATAATGTCATTACAATAGTCATTTTACTTTTTGGCACATATCTACATGGGTCACTAACATTTTTAACTATTCTGCTCTTTCACAACTACTAGACTGGGTCATTTGCCTAAAATTAAGTACTGATCACTTACCTTCATCTTCTGTCTCCTCTGCAGTCCTATTGTCTTCGCTGGTAGCATCTTCATCGTAACTACTTTCGGTCTGAGAGTCTGTGATTTCACCTTCTTCTGGCTCACTATCACTCTCTATAATTTTGTCATCTTTAAATGAGGCTGATTTAGAGATGTTCTCATTAACAGGAGATTCTAGACTGTCTATTTTGACCTTCTTTTTCACATTTGCAAAATTTTCTCCTTCACTGCAGTTTAAATATTCAACACTGGAGGCTTTTTGGTTTTCTGAATTCAAATCCTGGAAAAAGATAGGAAAGTAGGTGTGTAACAGGGGAGAATAATTTTAAACATTACTATAATAATACATGAAGTGACTACTTTCCAATGAATAGTGACTGTATATACAGTGAAAAAACAAGTGAACTTTGTACCTACTCTTCTTCTCACGTTCTTTCTTGGTTAATGATGTTATCATCCTCTTACAATGAAAATTAAAAATCTTATACTCATCACTGACATCGCCTTAACCTGACATGCAGTCAACTGCTGAATGCTCTGGACTACACCTACATTTTGGTTTTCCTATTCTCAGTGTCTCAATATTCCCAGTCCAGGCCCCCATGTATGGTCTGGACTATGTGACATCCTATACCAAAGCTGTTCAACAGAAGTACAACTTCTGCCATATTTGTACATTTAAATCTCTTAATAGCCATACTTAAAAGCAAAATGATTAATGAGATAGTTTACACTGATTTTGGTATTAAGCCCTCAAAATTCAAAGTATATTCATAGAGGACATACCGATTTAGACTAGCTATTCTTCAAATGGCTGCCATATACATCTAGTTGCCACTTTACTGGAAGAAGCACAGAGAATGTGTTTACTCTAAATTTTTTTTCTTTAAATTTTTCATCAATTAGCAAGTCAATACACATAAAATATAGAATGTTTCATTTACAATATGAATTTAAAGATCCAAATGCACCTAATATATTAAAGCTGTAGATTTACAAAAATTTACTATTTTAGAGTGGCTCAATAATGCACAAGTTTTTGTATTCCAAATTAGTTTTATCTTTTATTCTAAAATTTCAATTTAGCTAATATAAGCCTTTTCTTATTAATTTATTGTACAGGTATAGCTGGCATATCTTGTGAAAACTAAATAAACCTATTATTTTTAATTAATGAATAAAAAGTATGTAGGTTTTTCCTATACAACATGTTTTGAAATATGTGTATGTTGAATGGAATTACCTCACACATTTTTTGTGGTGAAAACACTTAAAATAACTTTCTTGCTGACTCTCAAAAATGTAATACATAGGCTGCAGGAGGAGCTCAGCAGAAGATTACTTGCCTAGCATGTGTGGGCCCTGCATTTGATTCCCAGCAGGGCAAAGAAAGAATAGAGTAAGACAGAATATAATCTACTGTTATTAAATATAGTCACTGTGTTATATAATAGGCAAGCCTATGATGTCAGCCTTGGCCAAAGGAGAAAATTATTTTCCTTTTTCCCTTTGATTTGTATAATACTTTCAATTTTCCTTTTACTGTAGAGCAACATGATGAAGTGAACGATAAGTTCTTTTGTTATTTTTTACAATATGTGAGAGTCTTATATACATGTTTTTAATAGCAGCATAAATTCAATTTAGAGACTGGCTAAGCATTTACCATGTGATAAAGTATATATATATATATATAT